TGGCACTTATTATCATTTTCAAGTGAGGAAACAACGCCTCGCGTCAACCAGCGCTCTGCTCCAAGAGCCCGCTCTTTCCGTGCCACTCCTTCGCGGCTCCACCTCTACCCCGTCGCTGGCGTCGTCGGCCAACGGATCCTCTGCTGGGGTAGGTCAGTCGAGCGTCGGCGCCGGGTCGATGTCGGCGACCACGCCCCGCCGCCGTCAGCGTCGGCTCCGACGGCGACCTGCGTCTGCGCGTCCCGGGAGCCCCCGGACGGCGCCGCGGCCGGGCTCAGAGGACCGCCCGTCCGCCGGGGATGCCCAGAGATGGGTCCTCTCACGGGGACCCACCCGGAGATGGGTCCACACAGGGGGGACGACAGCTGAGCCCCGCGGGCTATGATGGGGAAAATTGGCGCAAACTTTAGAATGATTTGGAAAACTTTGGTGACGTCTCGTTATAGATTTGTTTTATTGCTGGGTGACAGGCGCAATCAGATATCAACTACAATGGAGATAGCTTTTGCAAAATGTATTGCGCGTAATAAACTCGAGAGCCGAGCTCGTCTTTACGAAATTTTACCACATTCTATATGGAAGGTAAAAAAATCGACATTAAAAAAGAAGCCCGAAAAATGCAAATCTACATAGTTCCCAAGTTAACACCAAGGTATAGGTATACGTGGTGCATTGCAAAATGCACGACACGTGACACGATACGACATTGCGAAATGCATACTCCTCACTGTTCATGCCATGGTTCATCCAGCTACTGGTGCAGGGCTTACAGAGCTCTGTTCCATCTTCCCCATCGCCGCGGTCGGCTCGTTGCTCCAGTACCCCAGTGTCGCAGCGTCAGCCCTGCTGCGTCGCACGCACCGTTCGGTCCCTAAATAAACACCCACGCCGGCGCGCGGCGCCCGGCGCCGCCCGGCCGGGCCTCCCCGAACCTTGACAGCACTGAACCAGTGCCGCTGCCGGCCGCCACCCGGCGCCAACCCTTCTAAATGCGGCGGCGGCGGCGGTGACGTCAGCGGGCGGGGGCGGCCGCCACCTGTTTACACCCTCCCGCGCACCCCGAAACGGGACCAAACGGGACCGAACGGGAACGGAACGGTACGCATAGCGGGGCCGACTGGTGCAGGTGTGTGCGTATGCAGAGCATTTGGAATTATATCTGCAACATGATGGGGTGTGCAGGCTGCACGGTTCCGCTAGTTGTGAACATTTCAGGTCCCGTGCATGGCTATCAATTTTCTATGAATTTCATCAGGAAATTCAGAGGCTGGTTTCCGGGTGCTCTGGTTACATTGTCACTTGCCCCAGTTACATAAAATTGCACACAGTGTTCCTGAGTTCCGGTAGGCTGTGATGAGGCGAGGGGTTTGTGTATCTTCACATCTCCACTTAGGGGGGGGGGGGGGCTGCTGTTGGACTGCGTTCGAGGTTGCGTCCGGTGGTCTAGTTCGGTGAACGTTCGGCAGCCTGTGCGACCACCGGCTGGCGGCAGAGCTGCTCCGGTGTCCGCGTGGCCCCACCGCCACGCCGCGCCGGCCCCACCGCCACTATTTGGGTTAGCGCTGGTCCACCGATAAAAGGGTGTTGACCTGCGCGTGTGCAGTGACGGAAATAGCGCGCGGCGGCAGAGGCGCCAGCTGACGGCGCCCATGGCGGGAGAGTGGCGCTCGCGCCCGGGGCACTGCGCGAATCTAGGCCGAGCGGAGGGAGAACAACACTGACCGGCTCCAGACCAGGCTGAGACGCGGTCACTCGGTCCACCAACTTTGATCTCACCCATGTTCGACCCGTTCACAGCCGGAAACCTCATATGTTTCCGATGCAAAAACACCGATTACAACTCCCATAACTCGATTATAATGTGTGCCAAAATACGCAGTCCGTTTTTTGTGGAGTTCTCAGCCTCGTCTCTGGCACAGACCGGCTGAATCTCGGGCCGTGTCTTTTCTCAATCTCACCCTCTCTGAATCAGCCCCCATCCATCAGTCGTGTTTTACCTCGGTCGGCGCGGGGCGGGCATCAAAGGGGAGCCGCCCTGGCGAGCTGCAGTCGCCGCCGCCGCCGCCTAGTAGCCGCCCAGGAGCCGCTAACTCACCAGCCGCCCAGCCGCCTCACGAGCAGCTGCGTCTGATCAGACGCCTCTTCCGGGCACCCGGTGGTGTCGGCCAGGGGAGTAAACAACGGGAGGGGGGGGGGGGCGAACGGGGAAATCGGTCCGCTCTCCTTCCCTTTCCATACTGCCGTTACTACCGCCGCCGCCGGCACGGGAGCCGTTTCAGAGACGGCGCAACGGTCGCACATCTTGATGGAGCGGCGTATTAAACCCTTTGACACGACCGAGCGACAAACACCGTCTTGAGTGGTAAACACCGTCTAACGGCCGACCGATCGACGGTGGCGAGCGGACGAAATTTAAATGCGTCATGAGCGGCGCGGATCGAGACAAAGCGGCGGAACGAGCCGTGCGGAACCGGAGACGCGGACGAGGCGCGCCGCGGAAGCCGCAATGCGCCGTCAGTGCCGCAATGCGACATAGCTGGGGTGATTATCGTCAGTGGTCTGCCGGCCGCGTGCCTGGCACTTCAGCCGTGAACGGGTTACCGTGCGGGCCGGCCGCGGGGAGGGGTACGGTGGGTAGGACCGGGGAGAGTAGGGAGCCCACGTGTGGGGAGATTTGAATGGTGCAGGCGTGCTGGGTACGGGTGAAAACAGGACAATGTTTTCGTCGTTCGAGCCGAGAATTTAAATGAATGACACCCATGGAATTAAATGGGTCACAAAATAAAGGATATAAATGCATGCGTATTGTGTAACAATGCATTGTAACATTGTGGGCCCGCTTAGGCGATCATGCACACCATGGCACCTACAGGTCTTACTCCAATTAACAATGCACTGTACTTGTGTGCTTAGTGGCACGCACACACAGACGCCTGCCATAATTCCACCTACCCCTTAGTCTGCAGAAGCTCACAGTTACTGCACTATGCCGGCGCAGTGCGCTGGCGAGGCCACGGGGAGCGGTAGGGGTGTGTGCAGGAGCAGGCTTTGTTCCATCAAACAATAGGAACTGTGTCAGAATGCAACGGGGTGCGTACAATGGGCGCCGCTGCTAACCCATTTTGAATTATGGACAGGCCGTGTCCTGGTCTATGCATAGATCAATTCCATGAAACGCAGAAATTGAAAATGGTATTAAACACGGCTACATTCCTCACATATTCCGAACTACAATGTTGATTTAACGCATTAGAATACTCCTGCCCTTACATTTACATAGGTATATTTCATGTATTTTATTCTCAACAATGAATGGTGGATTTATTTGAAAACGTAATTAATAGATGTTTAGATTATAATTTAATAGTCATTAACATTCTTATTGAACTTATTTCCCCAAAATACGCATTATGCAATAGTTGCAATTGCAAAGTCAACCTTATCCTGCGTCCTCTTCACTTCAGCACATGTCTGATGTCGTCATGCCTACTGGTTGCGTTCGCCATGGGCCCGGTGTTCCCGTATCGATATTGATTTCCCTCTCCTCCCAGCCCGCTTCAGACCGCGGAAATCCCTTTATCGCGGCCTCCTCCCCTCGGCCGTCGTCTTCCCGTCCCCTCCTCCCCTCCCCTCCCTCTTCTCCCCTTCCCCCGCGAGCAGATGCGCGTCCGTTAGGCGGTCGTCGCGCGCGCATTGTTGTTGTTTACCGGGCGCACCCCTTCATGGCACCCTTGCTCCAGTTCTGCGCTCCTTTCGCTCCGGGCCGGCGGCGTCTCGGCCGCATATTCAAACGGAGGAGCGCGCGGGGCCAGCGGCCCGACCGAGCGGGTTCATTGTATTCCCCGGCATCCGAACCCAAAATAACCGGTTCAGAGACCCTCTGGGCAGCGGACTCCAAAAGGCTGCGGAAGGGATGGCGTCGCTGAACCCGTCCCGCTCACCCTTCGCCGTCCCTCCCCCGTTCCCCCGCCCCACCGGCCGGCCGCCGCTCGCCGCGCGGCCGTCGCCCGCTCGGCCGGCCGCTCCGAAGGCCGGCCTTCGTCGCCGCTCGGGCGGCGTGGTCACCGCCGTCCTCTCACCCCGCTCTGCATACACGGCAGCCCTTTGGTACCGCCGCCGGCCCTCCCAGCCCCCCGGGCACGCGCCAGAGAGAACGGCCGACTCTCGGTTTCAACCCGTTCGCCGGGGCGGGGGCGGGGGCGGCGCGGAAGCGGTGTAGATATGGGTCAGCAGAGCGCCCGGCCCGGACGGGTGAAGGACGGAAGGGTTGGCCGCGCGAGAGCGTAAACAAAGGGTGAATGGCACCGGGCAAGGTTACGCGACGAGAGTGAAACCGACCTCGACTGGCGGCGGGGCGCGCGCGCGCGTGAACCGGTTAGGCTTTAAATGGGTACGGCCGGACGGGTTGTAGAGAGGGTTGAATGGATAGTAGGGGCTGAGGAATGCGGTAGGGTAACGGGTAGGCTAGCAGATGAATGGGTGATATATTGACTGTTTGTTGACGACTAATGGAACATGATACGTGCTACTGAACTGTTTGGGAATTATTTGGATAAAGTCGATTATAACAATGAACAATAATACACATTTTGAATATGCATTAAGCTCATTATCAATTAATTAACAGGTAATTAAACACTAAAATAGCTGTGACAAAGTTATTCCCCAGCAGGCGCAAAAGCTGGCTTGCTGTGACACTATTGTTTTGGCTATAATCTGCACACTTATCTTTGGTCTTCCATACCAATAGGTAAACTGTCTTTCAAGTTTCAACCACGCCAAATAAAAGCCACCATCTGGAAAACAGCAATCATACATATCGAAGGAACTCTTTGTTAGAACGGCAAAAATCCAGAAATCGTTATATCAATGAGCATGCCTCACATGATATGAACACAAAGCTGTGACGTACAAATGCTACGTGCGTCTGACCGTCTGTGACTGACCGTCTGTGACTTGCTTCTTGGATGTGCTTTGACCATGGCTATTATTTTCTTCAGGTGGACGAAACTCATCTGAATCAAACTCAACACGGACCGGTGAGTATCTAACTGCAACTGCCGCCATACTAACATCTCACAAACCCTGCTTTTATATCCTCGGTGTGTTACTGAGTCACCGTTTTTGAATTCAAAGGGCCTTTATATCATACCTTCTTTATTTATGACCTCACTGCTGTGGCTCAAAACGCATAACGCCATATCGGCGTGGCCATAAAATCCAATGATGAGTTTCTTTTACTGTTCTCGATTGTCCTTTCATGTTCACTATAGGTAACTCCTTTTATTCGGTCGATGCTGTCAAAGCTGAGTGCTGTGTCTATGCGGTGTGTTGTACGGTGGGATGGCTATAGCCGACTCCGGACTGAGATCCAGCTCAGTCAGCGGCCAGCGTGTTTGGTCTCAGGGCCCAGGAAGCAGGCAGGCACGTCCGGTCGCCGCCGGCCTGGCCCAACCGCGGCCGCCGCCGGCGACGCGCGCACTGCCATCTGTTGAGAGACTCTGACAACACCTCTCGGGCAGCGGCCGGCCGCACAGTTTGGGATGCTCGGGCCAGCGCCGCCGATAATGGCGCGATGGTTTGAAAAGAAACTGGTCTCTAGCGACGGCTGTGAGGCTGAGAAATCCTAAGACGGTGTTTCTGCTTTTTTTCGGGTACTTTTTCCAACAGGCCCTGATCTCAGTACCTACCAGTAAATTAGTTGGTTGGACAGATAGATAGGTAGGTACTGAATTTTAATTAAAATTGGTTATGAGATCGTTTCGACTTCGAGATAGTTTCTGAACCCACAAGACAGCAGAAAACTGCAGTTCAAAACTTAACGAATGACCAATTTTGCTATGAATATGCGTGCCTCAATGGCAGTTTGCTCATAATAAAAGAAAACTTAGCACACATCCCTCGTTTCACAATAACCCATTTTGATTATCCCTGATCCATCAAAAACATATTGTTAAGACATCGACCTCTTAAAACTCACTCTCTAATGATAGTGGGCTTTCACGTGATCGAGTCTTTCGCCTTTTTACTTCCTGTCTACTCGAAACTTATAGCACAGGACAGCATATGCACGGTAGAGCCGCCACCGCCGGCCGGTCGGATCCCTCCCGTTCTGGTCGCCACCGCCGCCGCTGCCGCCGCGGCCCCACCGTGTCGGACCGCCGAAAATCCATACCCTCCACCCCCGCGCCATGCGTCAGCTCACGCGGCCGGCAAAAAAGGCCGACTTGTTTGGCCTGATTGAGATCGGGTCGATAGTATTCACGGTCGTCACTGGGCTGGCTTGGAGCGGTTCCGCCACCGCCGCCCGGCCCGCACGCGGCGCGCCGCCTCCCAAAGGCTTAACCGATCAAAAGCGGCACAATGGGCTCGCCGGCGCCTCGCTACCTGTCGTCAGGTGAATGAAGAAGGGGTGCCGGGCCGCGCCGAGGTGCGGGGAGGCTCGCACGCGCCGCACACGAGCGATCAAAACGGGGCCGGGCCGAGCGGCAATTTTCCGTGATATCAAATTCAGTGGGGTGGCCCGCAGCGTCCTCAATGGCAGTGATTACACGAGAGGGTTAATATTGGCACACTGTTGTGAAAGGAAATTGGACGCGCGTGCGGGATGCAAGGGGTGCGCGTGAAAATCCCCAGGGAAAACGGAGCTTAGTGGAAGGCTTGAAAGAGCGGGTTGAGGAATTCACAAAAACACGGCATTTTCCACGCGTCAGGGGTGTGATCAAAGGGGAAGAAAGAAGCCGTCCATGGATTGAAACTGCTACTTTGGCGCCGGCTGCCGGGTGGCCTATTGTTGGCGCCACCTCCAGTGACAGCCCGCACGCGCCGGGACCTTGGGCGGTAGAGGAAAAGAGAAAGGATGGCGACTATGAAACGAGAGGGTTAGGATCTTCAAGACGGGTGGGAAGTGGGCCAACGGATAGACGGCAGGCGTAGGTTTTGAACCCTTTCCTCATTGTTTGCTCTTTCAACTCCTTTGGGACGCATCTATGATAATGAAAATATGATTGCTGATTTTACATTAAGAAATAAAACGCAAAACACATAAGCTCGCTCATTAGGTAGTACCTTTCCGATACATTTAGTGGCCAGAAGCCAAAGTTCAAATGAGTAGATAAAAAAAGCTTTTTGGTTTTCTATTCAACATTTTCTTTTCTGCTTATGTCCATGGGCGCAGCATTGCCAGTAACCGCACATCGACCACTGTTTTTTATCACATAAGGGTTAGAAATTACTTCCTTCCCGTGCTGACTGGTCGCTCCCCACGGATATATATTATTCATGCCGCCGGTGTGCGATAGTCGTGTTTTATCGCCCGGTCCCCTCCCCACCGCGCCCGGCCCGTGCCCCCGGGCGCTCCCCAGGGCGGGGGCGGCGGCGGCGGGGGCGGCGGCGGTCGCTGAAGGCTGACATCGCGATAAAGAGTTATCGACCCGCGTCACCGGTATGAATATGGGTCCGACGCGCGGTGTGTCGAGGTGTGGTGAGGTGCGGCGCGCTTACCCGGCTGCCATCGATCCGGGCTGGTTGGGCGCCGCGCCGGGGCGCCGCGGGGCGCCGGTCACCCGCCCGGAGGGCGCCCCGGCACGGTTCGTCGGAAGGTCATCTCAGGCTCAAAAGAAACGATATATACCATTCGAAAGCTGACGTTGAGCTGAATCCAAAAATGTAATTTTTATCAAAATCGATCGATGGCCTTTTTTGAAAATTGCGTTTTTGTAAAAACTTTATAATTTTTTATTTAATGGGCTGTCCCGGACATTCTTGAAAACATATACATGTATTTTTGAGTTCCAGTGAAAGCTGAACGCCAAAAGAACAATATTTAGCGAAGCAATATTTCCAAACATTAATATGCGTCTCCCTTAGCCGACAATAAGGCGCAATTACACAGCTCAGTGTCACGATGGACCAAAGTCGGCCACACAGAAGCGCGAAATGACACTTATCGACTCGCAGACCCGGCGCTCTCGGCCCGCCTGACCGGCCACGGCAAGGAGGTTCGGCTGTCGTTCTACCAAACGGGCGTCATATTTGTTAGTTTAACGGTTAAAGTCGGTACTTGAGTTATTCAGGATACATGAGTCGAAGATTCACTGCTCTGTCATCTTCACATCATGCATTAATTTGCATTTGTTCATGTCTACTTTGCTCAATTGAGCCTGGTATCATGCCCATATTAGGAAAATCGGTCGCGCTGAAATGTCAGAGGTTGTACCGGCCTCAGCTCGGGTGGAGTGGTATAGCGCCCGGTGGGGCAGGGTAACCTTTGACCGGTCGCACGGCCGAGCAGCTGTCACCAGTACAGCCTCTGACAGTGAAACCCCGCTCACTTCCCCTGCGCGGGCACTGAGCGCAGCTGGATGGAACAAAACATGTGTAAGAAAAATGTAAATCAAAGCATGTTGTAAATCAAGCAGAACAATGCATTTTCGTCACAGGTATCCTGAATAATTTTAATAGCGATGTGGACAGTTAAACTGACAAATATGACATTTGTTTAGTAGAACGAGAGCCGAACGTTCTTTCCGTGGCCGGTCAGGCGGGCCGAGAGCGCCGGGTCTGCGAGTCGATAAGTGTCATTTCGCGCTTCTGTGTGGCCGACTTTGGTCCATTGTGACACTGAGCTGTGTAATTGCGCCTTATTGTCGGCTGTGGGAGACGCATATTAATGTTTTGAAATATTGCTTCGCTAAATATTGTTCTTTTGGCGTTCAGCTTTCACTGGAACTCAAAAATACATGTTTATGTTTTCAAGAATGTTCGGGACAGCCCATTGAATAAAAAAATATAAAGTTTTTACAAAAACGCAATTTTCAAAAAAGGCCATCGATCGATTTTGATAAAAATTACATTTTTGGATTCAGCTCACCGTCAGCTTTCGAATGGTATATATAGTTTCTTTTGAGCCTGAGATGACCTTCCGACGAACCGTGCCGGGGTGGAGACACCCCTAGGCCACACAGCGCACTGCGCAGACTGCTACAGGACTGACGGCTTCGGTATCGGTGCCTTCAGTCCTGCTAGGAGAACGGATGTCGCGATATTGAGTGGTAGCGTGGCTCCCTTCCGAGCAGTCAAGCTACCCATGCGCATAAGAAAAGTAAGCATCAGGAGTTTAAGCGAAAGGAGAACGCAAAAGGAATTGATGATTTTTTTTTCTTGTTTCTATGACGCTCAATTTTACAGATCCAGATGACATTTCATGACAGACGTTTTCATGTCGGTCGATACAGTACCTATATACCTACAAAACAGATTCGCAATCAAGGATGTTTTTCATTCAGCATGTAAGACGTTAAGATAAAGGATGATTTGTTCAGCTACCATTCACTGTTCGATCAGGTAGCGGAAAATATTAAAATCATTCATCGTGAACCCGTCTGATTGATTACCCGTTGTTCGGAGCACGGAAAGCACCGTGGCCCACCGAATAGCGTGGCGGCGCGATCGGCTGCCCGGCCAGCTGCCAATTCGGGCGACTCCACCGTACTGGCAACCCCAAAATTGGCCTTTATTAAATCCTTCTTCGATCAGCCGCTTAATCGCATCAGTCTATCGAGCCGTGATTAAAGCTGGTTATTTCCACGAACAAAAAAGGTTATTAGTTTCGGCCTATGTGCAGTATGGAAGCTCTGATTATTGGGACGTATTTAAAGCAGACTCCTTAATGAGCACATTTAAATGGCTGATAGTTTATGTTAATCGTCATTCGGTCTATGACGTCAAAACTATTAAAGCGCTTTCTCATTTCGGCAAGTCAGCGTGGTGAAGGATGCATTAGCGTGGGTGGCTAACCCCTTTTGCACCATCATGCAACCACAATTAGGTAAAGATATGAATCAGCTAAATAAATGTCAGACATTAGGGTACCGAATTCGACGGAATAATTAACGACTGCACAATTGATAAAAGGTCATTAACAACTTCCACTTACTGAAAGGACACACCCGTTAACGGGCATGCCTACACGAGGGTTTCATATATTGAATGTTCTTCTATGATTTATCGAGAGTAGTACGCTTAGAATGTGCGAATA